AACAAGTCTTTATTGCTGAGTGACATCTGTCCAGCGGCACTTCAGCCATGTAATCTAAAATAATTAAAAATTAAACGAAATAAGAGACTGTAATAGCCATGATAATCACACAAGTTGCTGTTTACTGGAGCTTTACCCACAGAAAATAACTTGAAAGAAGGGGAAAGTTTCAGGAACTGACTTTTGATTACTTAGACTGAAGTAAGGAACAAGGCATCTCTTGGGAATAGTCAGCAAATGCAGAGCTCATTTTGTATTTGCTCTATAACATCAACACTCTTGTTTCAAGGAAGTTGCATGCTAGTACAGAGGGCAGGCTGCCATTGAAGGGAACGAGCCAAGGAGAGTGCAACTTTACCTTGGGCAAATTAGACATTCACCTCAAGGGTATTAGCTGAGGAAATTAATCTGAAAGTCTGTCTAATACACTCCAAGAGAACATTCTTGAAAGTAAAGACAAAAGGTGGGGCAGAGCATCTGAATAACTGCTGTGTCTGTGGGTGCTGCTTCTGTGTGTTGCACAGCAGTGCAGCCACCAAGTTTTAGTGTGGTAGAATGAATTTGTTGTAGATGAACCTAGATTCACTTTTTCTTTCCTCCAAAAATAATGAAATGGAGGCTGAAACTGTATTTGTATTCATATGATAACTTTATTTTAAATTAGCTTGGAGTTGGGACATTTGTCAACATTGCATTAAGTCAACTATGCCTCTAATATTGGATGTCCAGACACCTGGTAGCCTGTACTAGTGCTATGCTCATGTCCCTGTGAAAACATCTTGCAAAGCCCAGACTGAGCTTCTCGAGGTCTGTTGTCCTTGTCTTTTGTTCTATTTCCTGGTGCTACTGAGAAATGGTTGAGCCTATCACATTTTTACTCTCCTTTTGTTGTCACATCACCCTTCTAACCACCTTTTTGGCAGGATGAACCAGCCCAGCTTCAGCCTCTCCTCAGAAATCTTGTTTTCTAGCCCTTGTGCTGTACCTTTTCCAGTTTCCCCATCTCTGTTGCGGTGGGGAACCTAAAACCAGACTCAGTGTTTCAGGTACAGCTTCACCAGCACTGATGAGAGGGAGATCCAACTTCCCTTGGTCATCTGGCCATGCTTTTAATGGAGCCAAGCATGCAGTTTGCAGTGTCTGTGATGAGAGTGTGTTGTTGGCTCTTATTCAGACTGATGTTCATGCAAGTCCCAGGTCTGTGTTAGGTTGCTAGTCAGAATTGCAGTAAGTACCTGTAGCACTTGTTCTACAGCTCTCATTGCTATTCTGTATACACTAATGAGGACTCTTTTACTGCTAGGAAATTGTTCTGCTATGTGGATGACAATTTTCTTTCCTAATAGAAAAGTTGC